ATCTGTATCTCATCACCGTGATGAGTAGCAAATAGATCCAGATAGCTTCAAGTTCATGAAGGTAGCATGGTCCAATGAGGGGAATTTTTTTGTAGAAGCTGTATTATTCTATGACATTGATCAGGCTCCTCAACTCACTGCTGCTGGGGTGTTAGGATGCAAGGGTGGCCTCAAACCTAATCAGTGGGTAGTTTTTCTCTTGTTAATTTTACGTTTTGGTTCCACCAAACCAATGACTAGAATGACACAGCTCAAGCTTTTCCAAACCGTGTGGTTCAGATTCAGTTTTTTTCGTTTTCAGTCTTCTCAGCACTCATCGGATGTTGGAGTTAATATCAATTCTCTAGTTGCCTCTGAGAAGGAAACTTGGAACAAAGAAAAGCTGTCACTGCAGAAGTCTTTGAAACAAGCCGATGCGGAGCTCTCCAAGCTGAGAGCAGAGCTCAGGAGCGAAGCTTTCCTCAGAGAACTGGGATCAGATTCTGAAAATGCTGTTTTAAGGGTAGGAAGACTTTGTCACCCACATACTAACTACAGCTGCTCTTTTTGTTTTTATTTGGGCCTGTTTTTCATTGTTTACGTATTCTAAGTAAACAGGTATTAAATCAGTTTTAAAATTTTTACCCTCAGATACCTGACTCATATTTTTTTTCTCCTCAAGAATGGTATGTAAGCACCTATGTTGTCCATTTGTGTGTATTCTATTTCTCGCTGCTCAGGTGAGCCTCAAATTGTGAAGCCTCATTCAACAAGTGTGATCCATGAGAGCAAGAAGTGAATAATCACAGAAGTGCTATAGGAGTAATGATGTTAAAAGTCTTAGAACTGTAATCATTCTTGGAGCTTTATGGGGCCTTTTTTTTCTTGTTGTAGAGAATTTATGGCAAATACCTACGAGCAGAGAGCTTTCGGAAAGCTCTCATATATCAGAAAAAATACTTGCTGCTGTTACTAGGCGGATTCCAGGAGTGTGAAGAAGCCACACTGGCCCTTATTGCACGGATGGGTGGACAACCTTCCTACACAGACCTTGAAATCATCATACATCGTTCCAAGGGGTTTACACGATTTCGCTCTGCAGTCAGAGTGTCCATCGCAATTTCAAGGTAAACTGGAGGAAGTTAGATTTCAAAGAGACAGGACTGTGCAGTTTACTATATACTTTTCTAGCTCTCTGGTGAAATCTAGAACTTTTCATGTTTTCCACTTTGGAAACACTTTCCATTCTGTTTAAATTGTACATTTTTGGTAGTCATGGATACAGTAGATATTATTGTTGAGCAAAGCACTGATAACAGGAATAGGCAATCCGATTGTAGTTCAAAAGGGCTCTAGAGTATTCGGTAATCAGACATGGAGCGTACTGGATAAAGTCGTAATATTAGGAAAAAAGAATTATTAGCAATTCTAGGGTATGCACTTATTTACAAAGGTATTTTCTACAACTTAATTTCCTTTAAAGGTAAAAATCTTAGGCATGTATAATACAGATTTATGAACTAATTTTATGCAGCTAGGCAGTCATAGAATCAGAGAACCATAGAAGAGTTTCAGTTGGAAGAGACCTTCAAGATCGAGTCCAACCTTTGTCCTGGCTCTGTCAACACCACTGAACCATGTCCCTAAGTACAACACCTACCCATCTCTTAAACACCTCCAGGAATGGTGACTCCACCACCTCCCTGGGCAGGCTGTTCCAATGCCTCACAGCCCTTTCAGTAAAGAAATTCTTCCTAATTAGTCCTTTGAATTCACAAGACTTTAGGTCTCACACTGATGAGGAAGAACAAGTGAAGTTATTACTGCATAGTACTGCCATGTTGCCAGCAAACCTTCTTCACAAAGGTTTGAACTCCAAGCACTTCTGCATGCTATTGATCTGAGCCTTCTGTGTAGTATAAATTCAAGGAACTATTAATGTACCTGCTGTAAGTGAGGCTTTTACTCATATTGCTCTGCAGTTACATTTTTGGGATGAGACAGGGCAAAAAGTGTATTTAGTATGATTTTAAAATGCTGATGCCCTTTGTTGCTTAGGCCCTTGAGCCATTTGCTGTCCACTTGGACTTATGCAGCACCTCTAGAATCACTGGTGTTGCAGATGTGAAGCTGAAAGCAGATTTGGACAAAAGATGTTTCTCTTAGGTCTGTGTATAAGGATGTTTTCTACTTGATCTTCAGGTTTTAGGCACCCATCCATTAATTTTGCTTGATGTTCAAGAAATTCTTATGCCTTCTAGAATCCAAGAAGCAGAATATTTTTAGCAGACTTTTTCATTTATCCTGAAGTATTTTATTTTTTTTATTTGAAATGCAGAATGAAGTTCCTGGTTCGTCGATGGCACAGAGTTACAGGTTCTGGTATACTGAGTATCAATAGGGATGTCTTTAGCCAGAGTACAGGTAAATCATCGTCCATTAATGACTGAAAAATGGTATTCACAAGTCACACCACTGCTTAATGGAGATAGTTTTTAATTTGTGTTTAATTTGTATTATTATGAATGGGGTGCTGTTCCCCCTTCCTTTTGCTAGAATTGCTTGGATCAACCTGTTTCTCAGGTTTCTGAGAGTTACTGTGCTCAGCACAGACACTAATCTATTTGCTTTCTCTTCGGTCTTGTTTTGCTCCGTTGTGGGTGGCATTTAAAAGAGTATGGCAACTTCCCCTATGGAGTGTGTTTGTAAAAACAATTTTAGCTGCATCATTGGGTTTCTCATAAGAGATCTGCACCCCCCGTTCCAAGAGGGGATGCTGAGGACAGGGATGGACAGAGGAATTGTAGCAACTACAGGACACCACAGTGGCAACAGAGCCTATTGACCAGCCCTCCCTGGCCTTTTCCTCCAAACAAAAGCCTGTCATTCTTCTGTTACAGTTTGGAGAAGTCTGGTTCTCTGTTTGCCTTTTGGTAAGAGCCTAAGGAGAATCAGAAGCTTATTTATTAATTCCTGGCTGTCTACGTCTGTGCTGAAACCCTGTCCTGCTCAGTCTGTGAGAGTTTTCTCATTAACATCAGTGAGGCCAGGATTTCACCTCTGGTTTTCTCTGAAGCAGTCTGAAACTGGTCTGCATTTGTTAAACACCATTTTTGTGATGCACAAACAGAAAAACTCGCATTTGAGATTCCCAGTAAAGTGCAAAAGGTGTTACTTTTTTTAGTTTTCATGACATTGCTTTTTATATTTCTAGGTAGTGAAGTGCGGCCTGATTCATTCTCTGGTGGTGTAGATCTTTATGGAGAACAAAGGCATTCCTATAGATCCAGGTCAGTCATGGAGTCTCCTAGATCTCTCCTGTAGACTTTCAACATAAGTACATTTTAGATTATTATTATTCTCTGTCAGAACACTGTTTAACTAAATGAATGTGCTAATGCTTACTGCTAAGGTTTGTAATCTTTTTAGATAAGATTTTTTAACTTAAATTACATCTCATGCCTTCAGTGTATGTCTACTCATCACCTGATCAAGGCCAAAGCTTGCAGACTTTTGCTATCTGATTTATGTCATGTTCTTGGAACTGGTGGTAGATTGCTGGGTGGAGCTACAGTTACCTACCTACATCTGTAGAGTCTAGGCTTTGCGACCAAGCGAACCTGTTCTTTCTGGTTGGCAGCAGAGTGTGGCATGGAGAGGGGCTGCCTCAGGTGCCCTCAGCCGAAGGAAGGGAAAAACAGGGACAGAGAAAAGCAGGGCAGCTCACCATGGCTGGGGAAGGTCATCTGGGTACTGTGGGTTGGGAAGAATTACCATGGCCTTATGGCCAGAGTGTGGGTGGAAGCTGCTTGGTAGCTCTGCTGCTAGTTCTTGTTTAAACCTTTTGGTTGGCTCTACTAAGCTGTGATAGCAGAGGTATGAGTGAATCAGGTGCCAGTGAAACCAGTTGTTATTCATCAAAGGCAATGTTTTTATGAGCACCGTCAGCCTTTAGTGAGTGCATATGGAGTTGTGAGCTCAGATTTTTACTGAATGTCAGATTCTAGTCATTTTGGTTTTTCATTTTTATATAAACCACCTCAACATTTGTAACCTTAGTTTGTGGCAACCATAACAGTTTACATGGAAAAAAATGTTTAATCTATCTTAGCCACTTTTGACTTTTACTTATAGAGAGTAATGAGGAGAGACAGAATCCTGTACAGATGGCTGTGTCCTTGTTCACACAAGCTTCTTAATAGAAAAGCAAACTTGAATCTACCACAGCTTCTGCTGAAGTCTCAGTAGGAATTTTCTGATCAGTCTTTGTCCCAAAGAAATGCAGCAACAAATCAGGTGCAGTAAAAAGAAAAGGCAACTGGGAAAAGCGGTTTCTCTGGGGAAGGCAGTATGATGGCTTGGGCAGTAAATGGCAGGGAGGTTAAATGGGTATGTGTCCTGGTTTAACAGCAGCTGGCAACTCAGCCCCACCAGCCACTCCTTCACTCCCCCCCTCCCTGTGCGATGGGGATGAGAATCAGAAGAGTAAAAGTGAGAAAACTGAGATAAAGACAGTTTAATAGGTAAAGCAAAAGCTGTGCACACATGCAAAGCAAAACAAGAGATTCACTTCCCATCGCAGGCAGGTGCGCAGCCATCTCCAGGAGAGCAGGGCTCCATCACGCGTAACAGGGATTTGGGAATACAAACGTCATCACTACAAACATTCCCACCTTCCTTGTTCTTCCCCCAGCTTTGTAGGATGAGCATAATTTTGTATGGTCTGGAATATCCATTTGGTCCCAGCTACGTCCCCTCCCAGCTCCTTGTACCCCCCACAGCCTCCTCGCTGGTGGGGTGGGGGAAGGAGCAGAAAAGCCCTTGGCTGTATGTGAGCTCTGCTCAGCAACAGTGAAAACATCCCTGTGTTACCAGCTCTGGTTCCAGCACAAATGCAAAATTTGGCCCCATACCAGCCACTATGGAGAAATTTAACTCTATCCCAGCCAAAACCAGCTCATTCTCCACCCCTTATTTCATACCGTTTACGTCATGCTCAGGTTTCACAGTCCCATACGTTCTTATTACCCACCACCCCCCTTCCCATCCTTTGATGTAATACACAGATATCATTCCCTTAGTCTATGGACCACCCCTGTGAAATGTCTGTGAAATGTCCATAAACGTCCACACAATATCCATTGAGTTCATTTAGTCCGTGACTTTGGGCTCCATCTGTTATGGTGGTCACTCAGGACAGGAGAGGTGGGGTGTTGCGTGGAGTTACTGGGCACCAAAGCCAGCTTAGGTTGGGTCACTGCTGCACTTGCACTGCTTCTTGTAAAACTTGTCCTCCACTTGTTCAGGTGGTTCCTGGTAAGTAGTTCCTATCACATGCAACTCAAATCACAGGTTACATTACTTTAATGGTATTTCCATTACAGTCTCCACCCCTGGGCCAGGTTATAGGGTTTAACATGTCAGTGAACTCCTCCCCTTGCTCCTAGCCTGGCTAGCAGTAAGGGGTTCCTGCTATAGCAATTCCTATAACATGCTACTCAGATTCCAGATTCCAACAATTTAAAGGTATTTCCATGACAGTCTTCACCCCTGGTCCCCTTTGGACCAGACCATCGGGTTTAATATTGCAATGAACTCCTCCCCTTGCCCCTGCTCTGGCTTGAATGTATCCACAGACCTTAGGGGTGTAGTTGCTCCAAGCAGAGCCTTATCTGTGAGCTACAGTCTCTCCAGGGCTGTGCCTGCAGCAGCATAGACATATCCGCAGCCGTAGTTGCTTTGGGGTGCACCTGCTCCAGCATGGCCTTCTCAGTGGGCCACAGTGCCTTCAGAGATATACCTGCTTCAGCGCGGCCTACCCACAGCCACAGTCCCTTCAGAAGTAAACCTGCTTCAACATGGCCTTACCCATGGCTGCGGCCGCTCCAGGGTGTACCTGCTCTGTCATGGGCTTATCCATGGCCACACACTTTGAGGTGCTCCAGCATGACCTCAAGCACAGCCACTGATGCTTCACGGTGCACTTGCTGCAGCATGGACTTGCCCACAGCCGCAGATGCTTTGAGGTGTGCCTTCTCCAGTGTGGACTTACCCTGGAGCCACAATCCCTTCAGAGGTATACCTGCTGCAGCACAGGCATTACCACGGCCACAGACACTTTGAGATATACCTGCTTTGGTGTGGACTTATCCATGGCCACAAACACTTGGGCCTCATCCACAGGTCACAGTCCCTTCAGTTCAAGTTCACACTGGAGTTCCAGCCTGTCCAGTCCAACAGCGCAAATACAGCAGCGATGCCCTGGCCATCTGCCAGCCCAGGCACATTGCCATTGCTGTTAGCAAAATGTCCCCAGGCACAGCAGACTCAGGTGAAGCAGCACAGCAAGCAGTGAAAGACACTAACAAGCACTGGGCTCTAATATACAGTGAGGCAAGCAAGCCCCATGGCAAGCCTGTGAGCCTTCCCCTTAATAGCTAAAGAGCAATAACAGCTATTAATTCAGTCTAGCACATATGAATCAAACCTGTTGTTATCCCGAACTCTTCGAGCCCCACCTTGGGTGCCAAAAAGGACTGTTGTGGTTTAACCTCTGCCGGCAGCTCAGCCCCCATCAGCTGCTTACTCACTCTCCCCCAGTGGGATGGGAGAGAGAATCAGAAGAGTAAAAGTGAGAAAACTCATGGGCTGAGGTAAAGACAGTTTAATGGGTAAAGCAAAAGCCGTGCACACCAACAAAGCAAAACAAGGGATTCATTCCCCACTTCCCATCACAGGCAGGTGTGCAGCCATCTCCAGGAGAGCAGGGCTCCATCATGTGTAATGGGGACTTAGGGAAGACAAATGCCATCACTCCGAGCGTCCCCCCTTCCTTCTTCTTCCTTCAGCTCTATATGCTGAGCATGACATCATACAGTCTGGAATGTCCCTTTGGTCAGTCGGGGTCAGCTGTCCCAGCTGTGTCCCCTCCCAACTCCTTGTGCCCCCCCAGCCTCCTTGCTGGTGGGGTGGAGCGAGGAGCAGAAAAGCCCTTGGCTCTGCGTGACCTCTGCTTAGCAACAAAAACATCCTTGTGTTATCAGCTCTGGTTGATTACAAATCCAAACATAACCCATGCCAGCTACTATGGAGAAATTTAACTCTATCCCAGCCCAAACCAGCACAGTATGATGTGCTGGCTACCACATGGGTGAGTTAAGGGGCATGCAGCCAGGGCTGTGTCACCCCTTACAGTATTTTGCTGTGTCTGCTGATACTTACATTTTACTTGAAATTTCGCTTTTTGAAAACACCTGTGTTCTGCCCCTAGGTTGCACAGTATCCATGCTGATTTGAATCCAGTCTCTTTCGCCTGTTCTCAGCTCCAGAACTATGATCCCGAAAGAGCTTTAACCGACTACATAAATCGGCTGGAGGCACTACAAAGGCGACTTGGCAGCGTGCAGTCAGGTAAGGGCTCAGGCAGTCCTGCCCATGACTTCTGGGTTGCACAAGACACAGTCCTGAGTTAGAATGTATGTGCTGGTTCTCCAAGATACATAATAAATATCTTTGATTTTAGGTATTTTCAGCCTTAAACAAGAGGCTATTCTGAGCTGTTGCAAAAAGCTCATTACAAAGAAAATTGTTAAATTCTTTGGAGGGAGACATACAAATGTGCTTTAATTACAGATTTTGAGTCTACTGGTAAGACTTTAACTTTCCCTGATCTCTAATGAACGTGCAGCAAGGATTCAGTTGGCATCTTATTAAGATTTTAAGTTAGATGGAGAAAAATGTTGAGAAGTGGGAGTACAAGGGGAATTTCTTCTACCACTTTGATTACAGAAGTTACAGCCTTTTGTCTCATAGATGATGGCAATTTTTGTGCTGCTTTAAAAGGAATACATCAAGAAAATTGTCAGATCAATGGGACGTAATTTATCAAACTTGGTTTTTGCAGTTACAGTGTTGAAGTCTTAAGTCAGCATAAAATTCATCATTTGAGGAAGCTTTGTTCTTAAAAGATTTACCATGTAAAATCTTTCACACTTATTCAGCTGAATAACATGTCATTGGTGAATCCTCATGTACTTATTCCAAGTAATCTTGATGAAAAATCTTTCCCCATCTTACAGGTTCGACTTCATACACTCAGTTGTACATGGGTATGAGAAGATAATACCCTTTCAGCATCTCCATCATGGCAGTGCTGTTAATGGATTGCTTTCTGTAAACCCGTGCTCTTTCTGTGCTTTTGTATAATGTGTATATTGTGGGACCAATACAAACACAGCTATACGATTGTATACACTTCCATCCTGGCACACCCACAGAGACTGGGATTTATGTATATAGGCACTTCTATGTCCATGCAAAAAAAAAAAAAACCCACCAAAAAACCCCCACCACACCCCACCATTAAATTACATGTATATTTGTGGAATGCTAATTTAAATGATTAACTTATGATGTGTATTTATCAAAAGGGTGCAAAGATGAAACGTGTATTAATGAAATTGAGCTACATGGAGCAAAGTTTACTTGCACTTTTTTCTGGCAAGGCTACTGAAGTTACATGCCTCTCGTAATATTTGCTACTGGCAGTACAGACAGAATATCACTTGTAGAGACCTATTTTTGTAATGGTAGAAGTTTTGAATTTTATGGATATTTTGTCAAATTACTGAAATAAAGATGACTTCATGCTTTTAACCGTGTTCGAGAACCACTCCCTTACTCACACTGAAAAGGCTCCTCCTGCTCGTGGTGGCTGCTGCTAAGCAGAGGAGACAGGTTAAAGCCGGGTTTCTGAAGAGCCTGGTCCCATCTGACGGGGCTGGAAGGTCCTGCACAGCCTCAGCTGCTGCCACTGACACAAACACAAGGCTTTGTTACAGTTACTGTCAGGAGCAGGACAGACAGGGCTGGCTCCAGGGAGCACTGATGAGGTGGGGGGGAACCTCTTTGCATGACCAACTTTCATACTTAGAAGACAGAAGGAAAGTTTACTACATACTTACTTATAAAAGCTTTTTCAGAATTGACAGCATTGAGCACAGAAAACTTCCACAAGAGGTTTGTTTATAAATTTAATTCCAAGTTCCTGTGAGCCAGAGCTCGTTACCATTTATCATCACCACTTCTGAACCAAACACCATTTAACAATCCTGTGTGAATCGGTACGCAGGGGACAGACAGATATTTCACTTAACTTGTGACCATTTTATACACGAACATGTTATTTACAAAATTAATGTTATTTGTATCATCATACTATTACTTTCACACTTACATCAAACTTCCAGAGATCACTACTTGCAGAAGGTTTTTTTAGAAAATTGTTCTTTCTGAACTGAAGCATTTTACAGCTGTAAGTTAGACATCTAAATCATTTATTCTCAGAAAAGACTTCTCTGTGAACGTTCCGTAGCCTGCCTCTTGCTTAGCTGTACAGTAATTTTTTTAAAAAATAATCAGCCATGGCCATATGCAGTTTGCTTGAAACAGAATCACTCATAAAGGTAGGGCACCACCAATTACTTTCCCCCATAGGGCCTGTTCCCTGATGTGTTTACTGGCATTGCATACAGAGGTAAGGTGCACTGGTTTACCCTGTATTATCCAGAGAAAAGTAACCTTCAATTATTTTTGAAAAGCAAAGAGTTTCAGTTATAGAAATGACTTATTTCTTCGCCTGAAAGAGCTGGCATGCACCTTAAAAGTGTTACACCAATAGAAAAGACACCTTTTCTTTAAAAATGCAATGAGACAGTTGTAGAACAAGCAGTTACACACAGCAGCATTAACTGATGTGGGCAAACAAACGAAATAGACACAAAAACTCTGCACTTGGTAGATTATTGTTCCTTTCCTAACCATAGATGGAACAGTTTCCATTTGCCACTCATTTTCTCACAATTTTATTCAGAAGTCTGTTAGTTTACACAACTTAAAGAATTACGGGTTTAGCTCCAGGATTTAGAGTGACCTCCTCTTATATCTGATAATGGGATTATTAGGTGTGTGGATCATTGTTGTGTAATTTATAGTTGGAAAATAGTCATTGATGAGATCAAATTCATACAAACGAAGCAAAGTAGACCAAATAGTCTTAATCTGAACATAGGCAAAGTTTTCTCCAATGCAGCGATGACGGCCTAGAAGGAAAGCCATAAAAGCAGTTAGAAGAGTTAATCACATCACCTTTGACAATAACCTAACTTTAAAAATTTGATGCAGACAGTAATTGCTTCTTTCCTCTCTAAACAGCGTGAGGCTCTGATGCTGCACATACACCAGTATGAAACTCCATCAAAGTCTTGTTTTCATAAGCTGTCACTGCGTAACACAGACTGAGTGATTTAAATGAGATTGTGTTGCTCTGTCCTCACCAAGAAAGCATTAGTTTATGTATCCTCAAAGAAGCATTTGCAACGCTAAGAAAAGGTATCAACGCTAACTGTGTTGTGGTAAACTGTTGGGGCAGCCATGATTCTATGCAGATTTTTGCTCTGCTTTAAACTGACTTTGTATAACCAGGTTTTTACCTTGACTTGAAAAGACTCAAGTCAAACATCACACGCGCTAACCTGAAGATCTGTTCTGATTGCTGTGAGCAATACGCACAGCTCTTGCTTCATTCTTTTAACAGCACTTTCACTGTAAGAAAATTTTCAGGCAGGAAGAGGCTACAGCACAGGGAGGTGCTGTATGAGACAACCAGCATGAGCCACTTCAGTACACAATCGCTCAGGAATGTGTTGTTTCATCACTCACCAGCGCCAAATGGAACATATGCAAATTTCTCTCCAGCTGCTGGGTTGTCTTGGAGATACCGGTCAGGCTTGAAGTCTAGAGCATCTTTCCAGGAGTCCCTGAGTCTGTGGTTGACAGTGGGAGATACACAGACCTGATGACCAGGGGGAATGTTATACCCAGCAACAGTCTACAAGAGAAGAGACAAGACCCCACACATCAAAAGATTTTTCTGGTTTTCTTTTTAAAGTGTTACATCATGAGGCTTGAATTTCAAAAGAGATTTTGGCTAAGCTCGTTTAAAATTAATGCAGCCTAATACTTTATTGTTTTACTTGTACAGGGCACAATGTTCAAACGTTTGCAGGAACTTTTCGGCTGCTTTAACAAGGCTGGCAATTCTACAGAAAGAGTTTTCTAAAAAATTGAATGAACTTAAAATTTATTGAAAGCATTTGTCAGGGGAGGGATATTCTTTTAAAAAATTAGTTAACTTATTGGACTTTGGGTTTTATTTGTACAAACAGCAAGTTTTCTTTCAGATTTACCAAGCTTGTACTACGTGCAAACCAAATTTTTCCAACACAGCTATTAAAAATACCTGGCAAACAAAAAAATACCTTTAAATGGTAGCACCAAACTAAGAACTCAAGTGAGACCGAGAGTGAAAAGAAAGGGTCAGTTTTGCTGAATAAGACTGCATGTGGCTGCTACTGCGTGTCCTCAGAGCCCTCCCTTCTCTAGGCTGAACAAACCCTGCTACCTCAGCCTCTCCTCACAGAAGTGCTCTGACCCCTGTCCATCTTGGTGGCTCTCTGCTTGCCTGACTTCATCAACATCTTGATTGCTGGGGGCCAAGGGGTCCAAAACTAGCACAAATAATTCCAGATGAAGGTAACAACTACCAAGTTCAAGGTATTAATTACTTTCCTCAATCAACACTGGCTGCACTCCCAGTGATAGCGCCCAGGCTGCCATCACCTTTCATCCCTCCCAGCACATGCTGCTTACCCATGTTTGCCTTCTGCCAGCCAGGACACCCCCCACCTGGCCTGTTCTATTGAAGCAAGGTTGGCTCCAACACATGTACTCACTTGGGGAGTCTTGGCCATTCTCATCATGGTCATTATAGGAGGTCTAAGCCTTAGAGTTTCTTTTAGACAGCGATCCAGCAAACTGAGATCCTTCAACTGAAAATACAGAGAAAGTTATATATCAAAATACAGCCAAGATTATTCAACACAAAAAATGGTGGGTTTTATACCATTTTAAAGTAAATTTTAAAAAAATAAATGAAAGAGTAAGCAGCTTATATTTACATATACTTCATTAGCTACCCTGATAATTTTTTTTCCCCAATTGATTCAATTAAGGAGGAAAAAAATCTCTGACCAGTGCAATCAAATACAACTAGTTTCTTACTAACCTGTCTCACAACTGTTTTCTGATGCCTAATTAAAGAGAATAAGGTCACACTTTCCTCAGTGGGAACATGAGGATCTGCCTCCTCTGTAGAACTATCGTTTCTTAAATAGACATTGTAGGAAGTGTAATTTCTTTAATCAGCACTGATTAAAAACGGTAGCAAGCTGAAAATTTATTTGGAGAGGAGAAGACGGAGGAGATATATTGGCAAACAGTGTTATCACAGAGCGATTGTGCCAGATTATGATTCTAACACTAAGTATATGACTGCATTTTACATTACTTTTTAAAATAAGCACCTGAAAGTATATAAAAAAAAACAGAAGGAATAATGTAGCATACAAACCTGGTCGTAAGTTAATGGTGGCAAGTCGTCCCCACAAACTGCTTTTTGTTCTGCGTAGCACTGTTCCTGTATCGGTTTGTCTCTGGCTATGAAGAAGCCAAGCCAGGCACTGGTGGTGGAAGACGTGTGCTGCCCTGCTAGGAGCAGCCCAATAAGCATTCCAGCAATTTCATCATCTGTCAGCGGACGGCCATCCCTAGGTTGAAGGGTGTTACGTTAGAGCTTCATTTGATCAGGTTTCAGTTACAGTGGCATTTACAATTTCTTCTAATGTACTTCGTTCTCCTCCTCCTCTTTTGTTGCCTACCCTGAATGGAGCAGCAAAAGATCTGGGAGTAGAGAGAAGGGAGAACAGACAGAGAGAGACCCTAGCAGCCTTAAGGAAAATCATTACTGAACAGGCAGCAAAGAGAAAGGAAGCAACCTTGTGACCACTGATGAAAATCTCAGACACCTGAATAACATTTACAAGTGAAGTTTTTAAGCTGTTTTTAAGAATACAGCTAGGGCCAATTGCTGGCACCAAAACCAATTAAGAACATGAGGGAATATTTCTTTTTTTTTGGTAGGTTCGTTTTGAGCTCTTTGGTTAAAACTAAGTAAAACATCTATAAATGACAAGTCTTCAAAACCTTGGCTTACTTGTATGAAGCATCAAGTAGAGTTTGGAGCATATCATCCTCCTTTTCCTCAGACTTTCGACGTTTCTCAATAACCTCGTAGAAAATATTCTTTATTTTTTTGTGTGCTTGATCTCGACGTCTGTGATTCAAAACACTTCTGTTAGCAACATTGTATAAAATAACGCATAAAATGCTTATGAGATTTATTGGGCTGTCTAGAATAGCTTTGCAAACAAGAAGTACAAGGGGAAAAAAAAAAAACAAACAAAAAAACAAAAAACAAGACATTTAGATGAAATACTTAAGTTACTTCATCTGTTATTTCTGGTACCTGAAGCTCGGCAGAGGTAGCCAGCCTGGCAGAAGCCAGGCAGCATGAGTAAAACCCCCATCCAAATCGGCGTACAGCTGAGCCACCTTCTCATTCAGTAAGCTTCTTATTTCTTTCCCATGTAAGCAATGACTTGCTGTCAAAATGATAAGTTCTGAAAGGGCTTCAAACAGGTCTGAGGGAAGATTTGAAAAATGTTACTGAAGATGCATGTCAGGTGAGATGTTC